TTATTTCAATTTGATTTTTTTTATTTACTATAAATTGAAAATGACAATTTATAAAGCAAAATTTAACATGAAGGAGATTATTTTTGTTGAACAAACTTTATTAATTATTATATTAAACCTAATAAAGAAATATTATGCAAATCAATCCAAAGAGCCATGTTATACATCCTCCATGAACTCTTATGGAATAATATCTTGGTAAATTTTCCTAGCCTTATGAAGTTGGGTTTAGTTGGAAAATTAAAAGTAAATTCTTATTTTCATAAAATTTGTAGAGATTTTACACAAAGTCTAATGAACTTAATTGGAGAATTTATACTATTCTAAAGGTAAAATCACATTTGATTATTGGAGCTATTTATCAATGATGAAAGGCTTTTATATATGGAATCATCGACACAAAATTCATTGTTGTTTATCATGATGAAAGAAAATTACATGTTAGTTATATATAAGATGAAATAATTTATCATTTAAATATTATTGTTATCAGGTTTCAAATCTTAGATGAGAAAAGTTGAGGGTAGTATTAGATAGTTGATAACCAAATTAAAATTTATCGAATACTTGTCACATGAATCCTTTCATACATTATATTAAGAAAAGTTGAGGGTAGTATTATATAGTAGATAATCAGCGTAAATTTGTCTAATACTTGTCACATGAATCCTTTAATATATTATATTAATGTTATGGCATTCCCTATAAGCGAGTATTATAGGGCCTAAATACAAGGAAAAATGTATAAGAGCCACTGCATCAGCACTTGTGTGCAATGTTAAAGAAGCAATTCAAGCAAAGGTTCACATATCATGGATCGATGTTGGCAAAGAAGTTAGTCCATAACTAGAATTGGAATAGGAACCTGAGGTATAAATATTCTTACAAGCAAATTAAAAAATTTAATAGATATTGTGATTCATATGAAGATAAATATTCTATGTAGACATGAAACTAAATAAATTAGTAGAAAGGCTATGAAAATTATTAGTTTAAAATTTAAACGTACTTTAGTGTTAATGTATGAGTGATATATATAAAAATGATATATGTGTGATTATAAATAAGAGTTTGAAGGATAATATTATATAAATTATTAAAATTGAAGATAAAATTTTAACTTTAAATATTGTTATTGAAGTTAAGATTATTAATGTTACAAATATTTATACTCTTCAAGTAGGTTTCGCTATGTGTTCAAAAATAAAATTTTAGAATGAATTAGAAGAATTAATATAAATGATACATCATAAAGTAAGAGTTTTTATTGGAGGAGATTTAAATGGAGATGTTAATAGAATAGTAGAATATTTTAAAAAGCATTAATGTTAGCTACAAATTTGAAGCGAGTAATGTAGGTGGTAAGATCATATTAAATTTTGCTTTAGCTTATAATTTTATAATTGTCAATATTTTATTGGCTTACTAAACTTTTTTAAGTTTATTTTGATGGCTATGAAAGATGAGAGGAGAAAGTGTGTTTGTTGTTATTTTTAAGAATAACGGTGATGCACAAGATTAAGCGAATTACAGTAGAATTAAGTTAATGCATCATATATTAAACTTATGGGAGAGAATAATTGAGCAAAGGTTATAACTTAATACTAATGTTTCATAAAATTAGTTTGGATTCAACACTTTATGTCTGTTATAAAAGCTATAAATTGTTGAAGATTTGATGGAGAAGTATAGAGAGAGTAAGGAGGTTTTGTATAGATGTGTTTTTATTTAGAAGAAGCATATGATAAAAATCCAAAAGAAGTGCACTGGAGTGTTCTAGAAAAGAAATGTGTTAATAATGTTTATATTCAATTCATTAAAATATGTATACATACAGTTTTGTATTCAAAGATAAGTTGATTAGACCAAGTATTTCCATATTTCAGTTGGATTATATCAAAAATTAGCTTTAAGCCCATATCTTTTTACTTTGGTTATGAATGTTCTTTCTTGACATTTGTAAGGGAATGTACGTTAGTGTATGTTTTTTGCTGATGATATTCTTCTTATTGATAATGCGAGATAGAGTTGATAAAAAGCTTGAATTATGGAGGTCAACCCTGGAGTCTAAAGGTTTTAGTTGGAGTATATTTAATGGGTATATTGTTCAAAATCTTAGTGAAAAAAACGGGGATGTTATTAGTAGAATTCAAGTTAGATACGGTAAGACAATGATGAAGCACTAATAGGCATATGGGTTAAAATCCATGCAATGATTGAGAGAAAAACTCACCAACCATAAATAATAACAGTAAAGACTTGCTAAAAGAATAATAGAGGAGATAGTTGATACAGTAATTGAAGATATGCAGTAATGGCTACAGGAGAAAATCCATTTTGGACAACTACTATGATAACTGTTGCAGGATAAAGGAGATTCCTATTGTAATAATACCAATTTCCTTCAATAATTTTTATCATTGTCATGATTGAAGTAGGAATCTCTGGTAAATCCAAGTACGAGAGATGATCATTTTCTTTGGCGTAAAAAGTTTCTTTGGATTTGTTTGGGATATGTTTCTCGTTATTTTGCTTTTCAGATAATCATCATAATTTCATTTGGCTACTATTTTATCATTGTTTTCTCACTATTTTTCTGATATGTCTATGATGAAAAGTAATTTTTTACGACAAAGATAGCTAAATTGCTTTTAGCACAGCAACAAAAATAATTTTTCTTAAAATTGCAACTGTCCCAAACATACACTTTAGGGTTCATTTGGGACAGTTTTTTTGTTACTTTCTAAAACAACTTTCTAATACAAATTTTTTTTAAATTATAAAATTTTGAATTAGAAAGCCATTTTTGAAAGCAGTAAGAAAACTGCCCCAAATGAAGCCCTAGTCTCTTATAGGTGCTAACTTCAAACTTAGTACAAAAGATTTGAAATATAACTATTTATATTATTTATTTGTTATTAAGTGATAAAAACAATCCATTAAATCTTATATTGTCACCAAGTGTGTTCTAAAAAATTTATGCCAAATATCATGATACAAATTATATTATGATGGACTTGAAAATCATCAGATTTCTTTTGAGATTAATTATATATATGAAGAGTTTTTATTGTACTAATTTTAAAGCAAATCTAATAGTTTTCATGCCTATTCTGATATTAATTATATTAGAATCACTGTACAAATTTCTCCATTTTTCTATGATAGGTTCTTTGGAACTAGCTAACAAGCTATTCTCAATGTCAGTTACAAAAATGTGCTTTCGCAGTCGCATTCTTAAGCGACGAAAAGAGCCATTGCAACTTGGGTTGTTATATAGTTATTGGCAACTAATTTTTGCAATTGGAGTTCAGTCACAAGTGCATTATCACAATAACTAGGGAAAATGATAGAATCTATAGCAGACGACTCGACTCGACCCGACCCGCAACTAGTTAGCATAAATCTTCTTGCCAACACTTGCTCATCCCTCATTGTTTAAGACCTTCTTATCTTGATCTTTATCTTTTCAGTAAAATCATCAACCTGAAATAATCATATTTTTTTTGCTATTGTTTTCTAGTTATATTTCAAATGTTTTTTTATAGAGGAAGTTTTTTTTACTATCAAAGTAGCTAAATAAATTTTCCTATTCTTCCAAAGTTTTTTTTTTTACTGTAAATTATTTCTTATTTTATATTTAATATTTTACATTCTTAAATAATAATTAAAAAAAATAAAATTATCTATGCTGATCTCAAGCCTAGATGAAAGAAGTTGAGGGAAAAAAAATTTAGGCCCCCCCTAAATATATTTTCTGGCTCCGCCACTGAGTTAGATGCAGTAAGACAATGATGAAGCACTAATAGGCATATGGGTTAAAATCCATGCAATGATTGAGAGAAAAACTCACCAACCATAAATAATAACAGTAAAGACTTGCTAAAAGAATAATAGAGGAGATAGTTGATACAGTAATTGAAGATATGCAGTAATGGCTACAGGAGAAAATCCATTTTGGACAACTACAATGATAACTGTTGCAGGATAAAGGAGATTCCTATTGTAATAATACCAATTTCCTTCAATAATTTTTATCATTGTCATGATTGAAGTAGGAATCTTTGGTAAATCCGAGTACGAGAGAAGATCATTTTCTTTGGCGTAAAAAGTTTCTTTGGATTTGTTTGGG